ACCAGGTGAGGGTGGCAGATTACCTTCCCTGAAGAACGTTACTGAACCAGATGGGTTTCGAAAGGAATTTCATACATGTTGACTCATTTTATTGTATCAATGGAAAAGATAAAGGGATTGTTTTATTAAAAACAGAAAATATTAGAAATACATTAGGGCAGCATCACAACCTGGAAGTGCCCCTCAAGTCACACACCTCCTTGACTTTAAAATATATCAATGTTCTTTCAGTGTGGTTGGGTCAACATCCTGGAAATCTTTTTCATAGCATTGGGGGTCCACCTATAATACATAATGTGTAATGTGTCTAAAAGGCAGCTCACCACCACCCTCTGAAATGCAATTAGGGTTATGTGAAAAATGCTGACCTAGCCAGTGATGCCCACAAACCATGAAGATCCTATAGTAAGAGTGACCGCATTGACAATCCCCTTCCTTGTGTTGTGATACTATACTGTGCTAAATGGGACAGTCTTGACAGATCTATCATCCTGATCTGGGCATCCATGAGGTGCTGAGGGCCATCAGCAGCAGAAGAACTGTACTCCAGCAAAACCTGCGGTGTCATGGCTTGGCATATCCCCCACTCAACCACGACCATCCAGCCAGGAGACCAACTCTGGTTTTTGGGAGACTGCAGGAAGGCATACCAGGAGCAGGATCAGGCATACCAAACAATGAGGTGCAAACCTGATGACAGACAGAGGTATATGATTCCATGTCAGCAGACCAGATCTAAGTTCCCAAAGTGGTTACACTGGATCAGGACAGACCCTGATACTAAATTCCTGATCATAACCACTACAAGTAACTAACTGACCATGTCCAAGACCCTAGGCTGAGATTTGACAGCACCCTTGACCGATGACAATACCCCGGTCTTTGACCAAGGAATACTACCCATGGATGTGAATACATGACAATTTGACTGAAGCATGTGCAGTATGTTTCTGTGCAGGCTGTTGACATTTGGTGAGGGTGTGACATTGACGTAGCGCGGTGCTGTCCACCAGCATGTCTACCTCCTTGACCGATTAAGGCAGACAATCCATGACAAGCTGCCTTGCTTCCTGCCTATGGTGCATAGCAAAGCAATGTAGAAATACTGTGAGCCTTTTAGTTCAGAATGAGGCAGCAACACGCAAAAGGCAAGGCCAGGCAACGCAAGATGGAGATACCGTGAGCATCCAAGTGAATAAACACTGAAAGATCAGACGAGGAACACTGGGATGCACCTTGTTCCAATGTATGAGATAGATGTTTGCCTCTATGACAATGTCTTGGCAGTAGCCTTATAATGAATGGTGCTGATGCACTGTAAAATACAGCAATGAAGTGTGGAAATGCATTGCAGACGGGCTAAAGATGTGCCATCATGTTGTGGTGAAGCTGGCACGTGTCCAATGGCAAGCTTCCTGGATGCTGCCCATGCAGTGTAACCTGAGATGTTGGTGATTGTTTTCCCAAATGGAGCCCCAGAAGTGAGATGGAGTTTGCAGGTAACTCTTCTGGGTTTCAGGTCATGAATAGTCGCTATCTAGTTCTTTTTATTATTTATTCATTTATGGGATGTGGGCCTCGCTGGCTGGGCCAGCGTTTCTCGCCGATCCCGAGTTGCCCTTGAGAAGTTAACGGCGAGCTGCCTTCTTGAACTGCTGTTGCCCCCCTGCTGTATGCTGACCCTCAATGTCCTGAGAAATTCCAGGATTTTGACCCAGTGACAGTGAAGGGACAGTGATATATTTCCATGTCTGGTTGGTAAATGGCTTGGAAGGGAACTTGAAGGTGGTGGTATTCCCATATATCTGCTACTTTTGTCCTTCTAGATGGAAGTGGTCATTGGTTTGGAAGGTGCTATCTGAGGATCTTTGTTGAATTTCTGCAGTGCATCTTGTAGATAGCACACACTGCTGCTACTGAGCGTCGGCGGTGGAGGGAGTGGATGCTTGTGGATGTAGTGCCAATCAAGCGAGCTGCTTTGTCCTGGATGGTGTCAAGTTTCTTGAGTGTTGTTGGGGCTGCACTCCTCAGGGCAAGCACACTCATGTGCTTTGTAGATGGTGAACAGACTTTGGGGATTCAGGAGATGAGTTACTCGCCCACAGTATTCCTAGTCTCTGATCTGCTCTTGTAGCCACTGTGTTTATGTGGCAAATCCAACTGAGTTTCTGGTCAATAATAACCCCCAAGATGTTGATAGTGGGGGATTCAGTGATGGTAACACGATTAAATGCCAAGTGGTGGTGGTTAGATTGTCTCTTATTTGTAATGGTTATAGCCTGGCATTTGTGTGGCATGGATGTCACTTGCCACTTGTCAGCCCAAGCCTGGATATTGTCCAGATCTTGTTGCATGTGAACAAGGACTGCTTCAGAATCTGAGGAGTCACGAATGGTGCTGAACATTGTGCAATTATCGGAAAACTTCCAGGTTTCTATCTGGCATGTGGGAGAATAGGAAACTGTATATGAATAAGGCGAGATTAGGTACACCAAGCGTGCAAATAGGCCTCTCACCAATCATTAGTTAGGAGTTTCTTTTTCTTGATGTCAAGAACCTCAATTTTCTGATGTCGCATCTGAATCACGATTGCTGATATCATTCAGGGATTGGGAAGATTCCACATTACATGTTAAATTACTCAAATACTGAATTGTTTCCTGAAAGAAACCTATCCAATTTAAATATTCATATTTTTCCTGAATTTGCTTATACATGTTGTTTGGTTACTACATGTTAACCCTTTTTATTTCCTGTTCATGTTATAATGCATGGTATTCTCTAAGGTTTCGCTTAAATAAACCTGTCATTGAAGGACCTGAGTCTAAACAACCAGGGTCAAGATTTCAACACACATATGGTGCATTTCGATTCAGGAAACTGCTGCTGTTGTGGATCGAATTTGAAGGGCATCCATCAAGATAAGTGTGTTGATTGACACTGTGAATCATCTCAGAAAACTCAAAACCCACGCAGACACAGGGAGAATGTGCAAACTCCACACAGGCAGTCACCCGAGGGTGGGATGAAACCTCGGTCCCTGGTACTGTGAGGTAGCAATGCTAACCACTGAGCCATCATGCCAACCTTTGTTCATTATAATAATTTACTTGGAAGCAATGATTCTTCCCAACCCAAGAGAATGTAAAAAGAAGTATTGGGGGGTGGGTGTCATTACAAATTGACCAAGAAAAGAGGTTTGTTTCTAAATTTGTTGAATATCAATTTTTTTTAACAGTTCCCAGATGCCTGAAAAATGAAGTTTTAGCCTATCGACTGGAAAAAAGTTTTAGACCATTGTGGTTAGGGTATATAGCACATAATAATGACATAATTCTTTAATTGTAAATTTCCCTTTTAAGTTTATTTTTATGTGTCTCAGTGTTGTATTTCGTAATGCTTCTGTTAAGCACCTTGGAGAATTTTGTGATGTTAAAGGTGCTATATAAATAAGTTGTTTATTGGTTGTACTCCTTTAAAAGATGTTGGGGAAGTGGAGGCCACTGTTGTTTGGTTTTCATCAGATGCTGACACCGGGACAACCCATTGGTTCACACATTCGTACACTACAGTGGAGGGCATTTGGTCCATTGAGACAACAAGGTGCAGAGCTGGATGAACACAGCAGGCCAAGCAGCATCATAGGAGCAGGAAGGCTGACGTTTCGGTCCTAGACCCTTCATCAGAAATGAAGGGTCTAGGCCCGAAACATCAGCCTTCCTGCTCCTACGATGCTGCTTGGCCTGCTGTGTTCATCCAGCTCTGCACCTTGTTGTT